AGCTGTCTGAGCCTTTGCCCATGCTGGGTCCTCTGCACTGCACTCCAGCCTGGGCGACAGAGCGAGATTCTGTCTCAAAAAAAACAAAAAAGAAAAAAGAAAACAGAAACAAAAAAAAATATCTGCTTGTATGAGTGATACCAACAATCCCCATACGAATAGATGCCTGTCCCCTCTCCCAAAGTGCTCACACATACTAACACAGACAAATATTTGCTGGCCCTTTGCATAGTCACTGCAGGGCAAGTGACCCCACAGCTTTCATGTTTGGTCCAGTATGAATGTCTGAACCCAGCCCCTTTGTGTATCCAGGGACAGGCGATGAGTGTCTTGGTAGGGAAGGCTAAGATTCACTGAGGTGAGAGACAGGCCTGCCATGCAGTTTGCTTTTCTAGATAAATTCCACACAGACTTCTCCAGATGTGAAAGAGGATCTTGAGCTTTCTGGGGCCTCATGGATACAACCTGTGGACCTCAGAGTTGCTACCCCGGGAGGCAATCACACAGTCCTGGGTTCAACTCTGGGTGAACCACTTCCTAGCTGTGTTAGGCAGTTTCCTCATCTGCAAAACGGGAGCGTGAGCTTCCTTACAAGGTTAATATAATGATTAGAATCGAGATATGAAAGCCCCCTGGCACAGTATCTGGCACATAATGACCATACCACCACCACCATCACCATCATCACTATTATTCCTCCAAGGCGAAGGGTCAAATTCTGGTAGCCAAAGAGAGCTGCCTCTTCAGGTGTGAGCTTACAGCAGCCTGGGTTCTAGTACTTGCCCTACCACTTTCTAGCAGCAGCATCCTGGGCTAGCCACATCCCCCTTGTAGGTCTGTTTCTTCCATTGTAAAATTGGGGGAGGGTGAAGAAAGAGATCTGTATAGGTCTCTTTCTGACTGGCACCCTGTGTCTTATCTGCAGCTTAGGGCGATTGGCCTGGTTTGTATTTGCAAACAGCCAGGAGTCCCAGAGGGAAGCCAGCAGACACTACCTACTGCCAGGCCACAGAAGGTTAAGTTAGAATGAAATCAAGTTCTGTCTCATCTCTTCCATCCACCTCCCACATCCAATACCCACTGAGCTGTCTGAGCCTTTGCCCATGCTGGGTCCTCTGCCCAGAATTCTCTGCCACACACACCAATGCTCCATTGCTACACATTCTTCGCAGGCCCCCTCAAGTGATCCTCCACCCCAGACAGAATCATGTACCTACTCTGAAATAATTAGCATCTTGATTGAGCATTCCCACCCCCAACACATTCCTCAGCTGAGTAGATGCAGTGTGCCAGCATTTTGGACACTATAGGTCTCAAAGGAATCCAGTGAGCTGCACTATGCGCATTTGAGGGAGAGCCCCGGGGCAGCTGTCCGGCAGCTGTCGGGGATTCAGCTGTCGGGGTTCGGCCAGGCTGCAGGATCAAGGACTCACAGTGCAGACACCGACACAATCCTTCTCTCCCCTCTCCCAGACAGTGCAGCCAAAGCTGCTCCAGGCCAGCTGATGCCCACACAGACGCTGCTGCCCGGCCTAAAGGCCCTGGCACTGGGCGCACTCCTTGAGGGAGGCTTAGAGTTGCCCCTATCCCACCTGTGGCCAGTCAGGCTCCTCCCCTCTGACTGCGTGCCCCATCCGATGCGGTCTCCACTCGCTATCCAGCCTCAGCATTCCGGGGGAGCTGGGGCTTTCAGCACTTCTACCACCCAATGGCTGCATGACCTTGAACAACTCATTTGAACACCCTGTGCCTCAGTTTCTCATCTGCAAAATGAAGATAACGTAATGTCCTACCCAAATGGCCGAAGCGAAGATCAAATGACGTGCCTCTCCTGGGTCAAGGCCTGGCACACAAAGTACAGCACGCAGTCAAGGATTGCTATTACCTTTATTATTTGTAGCTAACCTCTCAGCCGCTGCTCCCCGCTCACCTGGCGGGTGGCGCCCCCGTGTCCCAGATGCACGGGCAAGGTCCCCTTGGCCCGCTGCGCGGACCGGTAACCATTCCGCTCGGAGCCACACAGACACCCAAGTCAGAGGTGGCCGTTCGGAGGGCAACAACGTCACCCCTGACACTCCCCAAACGGATGCGGGGGTCCTCTCGGCCTCGGCCCCCCCTCCCCGTCCCCCAGCCAGGCTAACTCACGGCCGTCGGTCTCCCACGCCAGGTCCTCCTGCATCCCGCCGTTCCGCAGCCCCTGCGCGCGCTGGCGCCCGGGTGCGAGGTGCGCGTCCGCTGGGGCTGGGCCCGGAGAGCCGAGAGGAGGGGGCGGTCGCTCCGCCAGATCCCACGCCCCGCCTTCTAGGAACGCAGATGCAGCGGCCACCCCAGTCCCGGACCAGGATGCAGGTCCCTCCTCCTGCTCCCTTAACCTGCCCACTGCTCCGCGCCCGAAGCCGGCGGGTCGGGACCACGCCGAGTTCCGCAGGGGCCCCTGACCCAGTCTCCTCCCCAGGAGTTCGCCCAGCCTCCCCAGCCCTGGAGATAGATGCGCACAAGGCATCTAGCAGGCTCACTCTCCTCGTGCCTCTCAGGACTCGGGGCGGAGGGATGAGCCTTGGGCCCGCCGCCTCAGGCGCAGAAAGTCAAACCCCAGGATGTGAGCTGGCGTTTAAGGAACCACAACCTCAGCAGCTCTGCAAGCATATGAAGAGATTTTTCAGTGTTCAGAAAGATGACAATGAGATATCACTTACACCCATTAAGACTGGCAAAAATTAGAAAGTTGAATAATGCCAAATGTCGGTGGAGAATATGGAGCTGTCGAGCTGGCGTGAGTAGCCTGTGGCTGTCAATCTGGAAAACAGTCTGGCAGTAATGAGAGAAATTATGGGAGAACCCTAAAATCCAGCTCCTTGATATAGATCTCTGAAATTCTCTTGCAGGCCCATAAAGGGACATGTAGGAGGATGTTGGTTGCTGTGTTGCTATGGTTGCTAGGAGTTGGAGACTATCTAAGCGCCCTTTCTTGTGAGAGCGGATAGATAAAATGTGACGCTGTGCAGCACTCAAAGCAAGGGACCCCATGTATTCGTGGCAACATGGATTTAAACACCTAGTGCTAGGCAGAAAAAGTAAATAACCAAACCAAATAGGACCTAGACGACAATATCAATAAAAATATTACAAATGCATTTACATCAAACAACACAGACTTGCAAAGACACATAGAAACAAAAAGATACCCATTAAATACACCAGAATGGGTTGCACTTCAGACCCTTGGGGGATGTCCATGTCCTTTTTGCCTTAAAGGCATTTACAGCTTCTTTGAATTTAGGGATAATGGGGTCTCAGGCATCTCTATCCCAAGGCAAGAAGCTAGAAAAGCCATGATAGGTGTAGTTACTACTTTGGGGATCAAAGGAGAAAGAGCATCTTTCAGTCATTAGTCCTTAAGATATCGTTCAGGAAGGCTTCCTAAAGAAGGAAGTATTTGCAATGGCCTTTGAAAAATAACATAATGATAACAGCTAGCAATTAATGAGCCCTGAGCCAACCCCTCAAAACGGTCTCAAAATAACAATTCCAACATAATAATCAAATATATGATTCCTTTTTTTTTTTTTTTTCCTGAGACAGTCTCAGTCTTTCTTCTAGGCTGGAGTGCAGTGGCATGATCTCGGCTCACTGCAACCTCCGCCTCCCGGGTTCAAGCAGTTCTTCTGCCTCAGCCTCCCCAGTAGCGGGGATTACAGGCGCTGGCCCCCACACCTGGCTAATTTTGTATTTTTAGTAGAGATGGGGTTTCACCATGTTAGTCAGGCTGGTATTGAACTCCTGCCCTTGGGTCATCCACCCACCTCAACCTCCCAAAGTGTTGGGATTACAGGCGTGAGCCACTGTGCCACCCCACTCCCCCTTTTTCTTTCTTTTTTTTTTTTTTTCTTTTTTTTCAGACAAAGTCTCACTGTGTTGCCCCAGCTGGAGTGCAGTAGCGTAATCTCGGCTCACTGCAAACTCCGCCTCCCAGGCTCAAGCGATTTTCATGCCTCAGCCTCCCAAGTAGCTGGGACTACAGGTGTGCACCACCACATGTGGCTAATTTTTGTATTTTTAGTAGAGATGGGGTTTCACCATGTTGGCCAGGCTGACCTTGAACTCCTGACCTCAAGTGATCCTCCCGCCTCAGCCTCCCAAAGTCCTGGGATTACAGGCATGAGCCACCACACCTGACCTAGGTTGCATGCTTCTTATGAGAATCTAACTAATGCCTGATCATCCGAGGGGGAACGGTTTTATCCCAAACCATCCCCCCACCTCCCAGTCCTGTAGAAAAATTGTCTGCCACAAAACTGAACCCTAGTGCCAAAATGTTGGGGACCAATGCCCTAACTCATAACTTCAACATGATTCTGCTTCCCTCACTGCATCCTGACTGACAAAATAACATTTGTGTTGTTGATGCTTACCCTTATATTGTTTAATTTAATCATATATTCTCTCTTTACTGCAGTAGCATACTATATACCATCTTCTCACTTTGCCCTCCCCCTTAAAATTCACCCATTTAAGTGTATAATTCAATAGTTTTTAGTACAGTATTGTTCAGAGTTGTATAACTATCACCACTAAATTTTAATATTTTCATCACCCCAGAAAAGAAAGCCCAACCCTTTAGCTATCACCTCCCATGCAGTTTCCCCTCCCCAACCCTCCACACACAGCCCTAGGCAACCACAAATCTACTTTCTTTCTCCATAGATTTGCCTGTTCTGAACATTCTTCTGGCTTTCATTCTGGGAACAATCTGCTACAGAGATCTCTCTGCAGTAGTCTGTCAAGATCTTCCTGCGTCCTTTGTATAGCCTCAGAGTCCTCCATTGGGTGGCTTATTCAACCACTCCCTGTTGATGGACATTGGCCCTGTTTCCAGACTTTTATTATTACAATAGAGTTACAATGACCAATCTTATGCATGCATCAATTGGTATTTTTACTAGTGCATTTATGGGATCTATTCTTATAAATGGGATTGCTTGGTCAAAGGGTAAATGCACATGTAACTTTGCTAGCTATTGCCAAATTCTCCTCCATAAGGTCCAGAAATATTTTGCATTTCCATTACCAATGTATGAGGGTGCCTGTTTCCAAGGAGAACATGCTGTAAAACTTGGATTTTTCCCAATCTGATAAGAAATAGTAATTAATTATAATCTTAGTTTGCATTTCTATCATTACAAGCAAAGTTGGTTATCTGTTTCTATGTTTAAGAGCCGTTTTCTTTTTTTTTTTTTTCCTGAGAACAATCTGTTCTTATCCCACTCATGTTAAAAATGATTGTTGGCCTTTTGCTTAAGAGAAATTTTAAAACAGCTTTTTATTTCTTGTCTTATTAATGTTTGTTCATTACTAAAGAAATTTTAAAATATAAAGAAGGGGCCAGGCCCAGTGGTTCATGCCTGTAATCCCAGCACTTTGGGAGGCCAAGGTGGGTGGATCATGAGGTCAGGAGATCGAGACCATCCTGGCTAACATGGTGAAACCCCATCTCTACTAAATATATATATATATAAATAAAATTAGCCGGGTGTGGTGGTGGGTGCCTGTAGTCCCAGCTACTCAGGAGGCTGAGGCAGGAGAATGGTGTGAATCTGGGAGGCGGAGCTTGCAGTGAGCCAAGATGGGGCCACTGCATTCCAGCCTGGGCGACAGAGCGAGACTCCGTCTCAAAAATAAATAAATAAATAAATAAATAAATACAAAGAAGGAACAAAATACAATCAATCTACTGGAAGACGCCACCATAAATCACTTGTTATATACTGCGCTAGCCCTTTTCTAACAAAAGAAAAAAATATACACACACACACCACACATACACACACACACACACACATACACACACACACGAGTAGTAAATAGTTGCTGGTCTTGCATCAGCACTTGGGAGCCAGAATGGCACTGGTTTCCTCTCTGCTTAGACCAATCAGCTGCTTGAGAGGAGGGAGGGGGTAGCAGAAGTCCCCAGCCAAGTGGGGTCAGGGGTAGCCAGTGGGCAGCTCCTGGAGAGGTGCTCGGACTGAGCGGGCAGTTTCATTGTGGATAGGAGTGGCAGCCCCCTGCAGAACTGCTCACCCAGTGGGGGAAGGAGCAGCAGGAGCACAGGACTAGGAGACCTGAGCTCCAATCCAGACCTGTGCTGCCCAGCTGTGGAACTGGACAAGTCCCTTCCCTCTCTCCATATGGAAATAGGCCTGGATGGTCTTTTAGGTCCCTGACCCCTCAAGCATTGGATTGAGAGGTGATGAATAATCTATTAGAGGAAGAAAGCATTAACCAAACGGAGGCAGGGCCAGGTTATTTTTCAGGCCCCTGGGTACCCTCTAAACCAGCAGTTTTCAATCTTTTTAGCACCATGGACCAATTTCCTGGAAGACAGTTTTTCCATGGGTTGGAGTGGGGCCACTGGAATGGTTTCAGGATGAGACTGTTCCACCTCAGTTCATCAGGCATTAGATTTTCATAAGGAGTGCAGCAATCTATTGCATGTGGGGACAATAGGGTTCCTGCTCCCATGAGAATCTAATGCCTCTGCTGATCTGACAAGAGGCAGAGCTTAGACGGTAATGCCTGCTGCTCACCTCCTGCTGTGCAGCCCCGTTCCTAACAGGCCACAAACCCGCACTGGTCCCGCAACTGGGTTGGGGACCCCTGCTGTAAACTCATAGACCTTAGACTCCACCCACATCTCCCAGCACTTGTGTATCCATGTCTTTCTGAGTCCAGTCCTAGCTCTGCTGTGTGACCCCATGCAATCACTAAATCTCTCTGACCTTCAATTTATTTATCTGTGGATGATCCTTTATTTATTTATTTATTTATTTTTGAGACGGCGTCGCTCTGTGGCCCAGGCTGGAGTACAGTGGCGCAATCTCGGCTCACTGCAAGCTCCGCCGCCTCCCGGGTTTACGCCATTCTCCTGCCTCAGCCTCCCAAGAAGCTGGGACTACAGGCGCCCGCCACCACGCCCGGCTAATTTTTTTGTATTTTTAGTAGAGACGGGGCTTCACCGTGTTAGCCAGGGTGGTCTCAATCTCCTGACCTCGTGATCTGCCCGCCTCGGCCTCCCAAAGTGCTGGGATTACAGGCATGAGCCAACGCACCCAGCCGGATGATCCTTTTTTAATAGGGTTATTTCAAAATGCCTAGGCCTAGGCACACAGTGAGTGCCCTAGTGTGGTGGTGGTGATTATCCTCTGGCTCTCCACCTGCAACCTGTACTAGCCCATGTAATCATACTGACAATTCTATGAGGCAAATGCTAGAATATGGAAGCTCCACTTTACAGAGGAGGCACGTGAGGTTCACAGAGGTTAATACTTCACTCAGGGACACACAGCAAGCTGTGGAGAGTTGAGAATGGCCTCTCCAAGTGTGACTCTCTCCAAAGGAGAAACCGGTGATTCCCATGGCGTTGAACCACATGCTGGGTCCCCAGCCAGGCCACGGCTGAAGGTGAGGTTGGAGGACATCCTTCAGTTCAACCACCCAGCAAGTCCGCTGGGACACCCCAATTCTAGGGGGTGACTTTCTCTCCAGGAAAGAAAGCAATTTGGCGGAAAGCCTCAGAAAACAGCGCAAACAGGCTGGGCGTGGTGGCTCACTCCTATAGTCCCAGCACTTTGGAAGGCCAAGGCACGTGGATCGCTTGAGCCCAGGAGTTCGAGACCAGCCTGGGCAAAATGGTGAGCCCCACCCCCCACCCCCCCCACCCCCCCACCCCCCCACACCCCCACACACACCCACTGTCTCTACAAAAAAAAATTAAAGAAACAAAAGAAAAACTAGCGCAAGCATGTAACCTGACGCAGAAGATCCAGGTGAGAGGGACTAGGAGCGTAGGGGCGCCCGGTTTCCCTGAGCCTGGCTTGTCGCCCTTAGCGTTCTCCCTGAACTCCGAGGGGAGTGGGCAGAGGACTCTGGGCCTCGCTGCAGTTTCGCTTATCGACACGCGGGGGAGCAAGAGCCGGCGAAGAGCAGCCTAGAGGAACTGCGCGATTGTAAAAAAGCTGCAGGAAGGGACAATATTTAACCCAAATGAACTTGAAAAGGTCTTTATTTTATTTTATTTTATTATTTTTTTTTATGACGAGTCTTGCTCTGTCTCCCAGGTTGGAGTGCAGTGGCGCGATCTTGGCTCACTGCAAGCTCCGGCTCCGGGTTCACGCGATTCTGCTGCCTCAGCCTCCCGAGTAGCTGGATTACAGGCACCCGCCACCACACCCGGCTTAATTATATACTATATATATGTTAGTA